TCAGTTATAACTGCAGCCATGCTGTACATTAGTTGGTTTGTTTCTTGCAGTGAGCTGGTGCGTCTATTTGATATGATAATTTGATGAATTATTATTATTACTATTATTATTATCATCCCATATTTTCCTTTTTTCGATCACTGTTGGTGGGTTGTGCAAATAATTCAACAAGACCCTTGGCTTCTGAATAAAACACACCTCTGGATCCATTCCTTGAGACCATCCAACAGGTGGTCAAAGGTTCAGCATAGCTACTTCACAACTTTAGGGAGGAGATGTAAGGGAGCATTTTTCCCATGAGCAAAGCACCTCATTGAATGATTTGCACAGGCCTACCATACAGTCAGAATCTCACAGAAGTAGGTTCAAAATGGGTATAAAGGTGACTTTGTAGCTGCCATAACTTCCCATGTAATCCCCCAAAATACCCTCTCAGAAATAAGAGTACTAAGTTTGTAATTTATATACACTGGAAGTATACATGTATGTATGAATGGTTCAAAATGGGTATAAAGGTGACTTTGTAGCTGCCATAACTTCCCATGTAATCCCCCAAAATACCCTCTCAGAAATAAGAGTACTAAGTTTGTAATTTATATACACTGGAAGTATACATGTATGTATGTATGTATGTATGTATGTATGTATGTATGTATATGTGCATAGAATGCAACTTTGAGTAAGAATAATTCAATATGATGCATGTTCACATTACCAGATGTAGATATTGACCTTCTTCACCCATATTTATGTTAGATGATTCTTCAGAAGGACTTGTATGTATATGTGCATAGAATGCAACTTTGAGTAAGAATAATTCAATATGATGCATGTTCACATTACCAGATGTAGATATTGACCTTCTTCACCCATATTTATGTTAGATGATTCTTCAGAAGGACTAAAAGTCTCAAACATTACAATAACAAAAAGAACCTTTAATGCTTTAATTGGCCTATTAGTCTTCATACATTCGTTGAAGCTGTTTTGCAATCAGAAAGATTGTTTCTAGTGCTTTTCTGAGAAAGCTGCTTCAGTAGTCTTGTTAGGAGCATGTGAAATTGTGATATAATTAATGGATCATTCTGTTATTTATGTTAAGAAAATGCCACTTTTAACATCAACCCATGAATAGTTTTAAGTAACTTTTGTACTTAAAGGATACATGGTTCAGCAGTAGAGCACACACTTTGCAAAAGTTCCCAGATTCAATCCCAGCATCACCAAGCAGCAATGGAAAAGAATCCTCATGATATCCTGGAGAAATCCATTAGCAATTACAGCAGTAGGCAACACAGACCAATGGTCTGATTCAATAAACAAAAGTCTCCTATATTCCCATATTAAAGAAAAATATTTTAATGGTGTTTTGCTTCCTTATTTTTCCAAGTATCTCTCAAAGAAAAAGGCTTACCTGAAAAGTCCTTAATTGAAAGTGATGAAGGTATGATTTTGCAGTAATATTACCATATTGTAAAAAAGAGAAGAACTGAGCCTTAACAAACTGGACATGTGTTGCCCAATGCAAAATTGAACTTATCACCAGTGCATCCTAGAAATGAACCAGATAAATATCCAAATGTTGAATTGTGTTCCAGGAAGTTTATTTGAATAGTATTACTGTATTTTAGAAATTTCATTTCAGTTATTGTATTTCAATAGCCACTTTAAATAGGGATCACCCTGTCACTATGTTTCAAATTTCTGGAATATTATAATAATTACAATAATTAATCCATGAAATCTGTTACCACAAGATGAAGAGATGGGTGTCAGTTTATCTTACGCATTAGACTAAGTCATGAAACCTAATCCACTTTTGCATTACTAAAATAAAATAAGCTTCTCAGTGGCTACCAGTAATAATATCTGTATGCTGCTTCCAAAATAAAAAATTACATGTCGCTAAATATTAGTTGCTGGACCCAACAAAAGGAGAGAATTAGTTGTGATATTATGCACTGTGCTTTGGTTTCCTATCAGAATCCAGGAGGTTGTAATGAGAAAGAATGCTGGACTTGATCACTATTAAGCTCTTATGCTGCGGCAGAAGAAATGTACTAATACGGGACTGTATTAACCACAATTGGTACTTTTTAAGCCATTTGCTTTGTTGCAGGAGAAGACTTCTTTGAAAGGGTGGTTTGCAGTTTTGGCCTACCAACTTTTGGATTTATCACTATCCATGGCCAGCATGCAGTTCTCAGAAGGTCACTTAAAAGGAAAATCATTATTTGGGATTTAAAAGGTTCCTTGCTTCTATATGAGAGAATTATTGGAGAAATTCAATCCCATATTATAATACTGATTGGTAATGGAAATTAATATTGCACTGTAAGAATTCTGGGGAAAAGGCTGATGATTCATTTCTTGGCCAGTGACTTCATATATAGCTCTAGTTTGTGGCATTTGCCCTGCTAATGAATCTTTTTTGCTTTCTGTAGGGAATCAGATGAGCAGTCGTCTGATGAGTATGCGCAGTGCCAATGGACTGTTGATGCTACCTCCAAAGACAGAGCAGTATGTGGAACTTCATAAGGGAGAGGTGGTTGACGTCATGGTCATTGGAAGACTATGATGTTACCAGCAGGAGAAAAGTTTTGATGCATGTCCACATATCATTGACTGTATCCTGTAATATGCAACGGCACAGCTAGTTTTTCTGATTTGGATAAAAGTTGATCAGTATAAACACCTTGAACTATATTTCAAATGGATTTAAATAAATACCTTTTAAAAAACTTTAAAAACAAATCTTAAAAGAATTTATTCTGATTATATCAAAGCAACTTTTTCATTTCTTGCGATTGCTTTGTGTGTTCAATGCTAGTTCCAATAGCAGTAGCTTTTAGTAGACAGCGGTAGGTGCCTGCAGAACTTGTGTTTTTTCTCATCTTTAAGATTCAACTACTTATGCTCTTAAAACAAGGCTGTCTGCTTATTTATACTAGTGTAGACAACACTTGGATTTTCCCTTCTTAGTATGCTTCATAACTGCTTCACAGAGAGCTTCTGCTTGTTCTTTATCGTATCTCGTGTTGATGTGCACAGTGCCAAAAGCAGAGTGGCTGCCCTGGGAACCCGATCAAGCCCCAAGGTTTTCCTCCTTGCTGCGCGTTCAGGGATATCTGTCATCCCAGCAGCCACCCAGCTCAGTACTATTGGGCAGTAACTGGATACCTTTTGTTTAAACAAACAACAAAAAATTGCTTCCTTAAGTGCTGACAGCCTTTTTAACCAATACATTTAAAATGTACAGAATTAAAATCTTAAAAAAAAAATCAAAGACTGATCTTGTACAGATATTAGTGTTACCAGCATTCATGTGGAAATTAAATGAGAAAAGAAATAAAAACTAATGTCAACTCTGTACCATAACATTTTCTGTAATGATACTGAAATTTAAATGAATAAAAAAAATCCTGAATCATTATTTAAAAGGTGATTGTGTTAAGCCTTGTTGTTTAATAAGGGAGAAAAATCACTGCTTTCAGTCTTGGGGAAAGGACGTTGTGGTTCAAAAATTAAATGAGCACAAATATACTGGAGCAAAGGTTGTATTATCTTTGTTGAGTAATCTTAAAACTTCAGTCCCTGGAAGATACTTTAGCGTATATGATTTATGAAACATCACTAATGCAGATTAATTTAAAAATATAGGATTTAAATCATCTAAGAAACTGAAAAGTAGAAAAGTGAATGTTTAACTACTGTATGGAATATTTGTACATTTTAAAAATTGTATGCTTCATGAACACTGCTGCAGTTAAGTGTAATTGATCCATAGTCATTTGCATAATGTGGCACTTCTAGGTGTTAAGTAACAAATGAAAGAAATTAATTCAGTTTTAGGTAAATAACTGTAACGTTGCTTTCAGGGTGCTGCATAATGAAAAAAATATTTTCAGTTCAGTTCTTCCCCTTACATAGCTTTATTGCTCTTATGACTGCTTGAAATACTTGTTTTTTAAAATTCCATAAATTATAGTTTGACTTAAAATAACATTTATTGCTAATCAGCTATAAAAAAGCACAGTGAAATGAGTAATGCATGTGATTCTAGACTAGAATCAAGGCTAGTAAAAGTACTATTTTTGCTAATCCAGTGTAGAATGTATGGCTTAAAACTGATTTGATACTGACCTTGGTACTCCATGGCTTCATGACTGACTGCAATCCTATATCCATTTGGGAATAATCCAAGCAATGACAGTGAAAATTTCTTCTATAGAAGAATATTAAGTGGAGTAAAGAAACTTTAACACTGTTTAGCCTAATGTCAATAGTGTCAGATACTTGCCCTGCAGATTAACTAGCTATTGGACTATCCCATCCTTTGGTTTATCTGCCCTCTTCACTGAACATCATAACCAGATTAGAAATAAAAAAGCGTGATTTATTAAGCAGGATATATACAAAAATGTAAAAAATCAACATTTGTGTAACTCTTAGGAAGGAATCACTACTTAACCTTCTTTTTGTATTTCAAAAATATTATTTTACAAATGCCATTAATCCAGATTGATTCTTTGGGTCATCACCATTACTATTTATTCTGATTTTTTTTTTCCTGTGTGTTTCTGTAAATTTCTGGGCCCCATCAAAAATGCCTTTCTCCTTGTATTTCATAATTCTCACACTTCAGTGTTCTAAGATTAGTTGCCAAGACTGGCATGTTCATTCACTGTTTTCTCATCAGTGCTAAAGTAAGTTTTTTGCTGTTCTTCTAGACATCTTGACAGGCTTTATTGATAGGTCTTTTCCTTATGCTTATTAATAGCTCTTCTCTGAAGCTTAGTTTGGACTTATATTTCACTTTACATCTATAATCCTACATTTATATTTTGACTATAGTTTTCTACTCTCTCCTTCATTTCTGAGTAGATATATATAGAGCATTGTGTTGTAAGAGTACATATTCAAAATTAGATTATAGACTAGCATCCCCATCAAGCGAAGCATTGTACCAAGCAAAGCTTTCTAAATTGTTATGCATAGCAACACGCATAACTTAAGCATAAGTCATTTAATGAAATGTCTTGCCTTAGCATAGGATAGTCTGTGGTAATAGGCATACAATTTTTACAGGTCACTGTAATTGTTCATTGTTAGCCTAATTATGTAATGTAGATAGATAATGAAAGCCAGTATACTTGTTCCATTAATAGAATGGCTTTCATCACAGAACAAGAAGAAATTATTCTCTCAAACTCTCCCATGCATTTTTAAAATTGGATCAGTTCAGGAAAGTAAAGAATGAAAAGGGCCTGTTTTTTTAATGGAAAGAGTGAAAGTGGGTTTCAACCACAGTTATTTGAGATAGTATTGCATATATTAATACCATAGTTTTATTCAAAATGAAATACTGGTTATTAAGATTTTTTTGTTATTATAGTTATTATTTAGATCCATTACTCACCTTCTCTTATCCCACAACTAGATTTATTCTGCTTATGAAATATCTAAGATATTTTCTTGAATTCTTATCCTTGTATCATCAGAAAGCTTTCCAGTGGTTTTTAGGGGGGTTGGCCAAATGTACATGATGCTTCTATAGAAGATTTGAGCTACCTTTTTTCTCTGATCTTATATCAATTGCGGAATTGAAACTGAACCCCATGTTTATTATTAATGTTAAATGTTCCTAAACTGCATAATATCATTAAAGTACTAAACAATGTACACAATACAATAGGAAAAAACATGATAGGACCATTAAAATCATTTCTAATCTAAAAAATCCACACAATAAATATTAATAAAATAAATAGAACATCTCATAACAGGGAAGGCCTGATTGATGTTGATATTGCAGCATTCCAGAGGGTAATGACTGAAAGCACATATTCCTAGGTTACTGCTACATGCAGCAAAGATTGGCAACTTGGTGCTCTCCAGTTGTTTGAACTACAACTCATATCTTCAGGACAATGGCATGGGACTGTGAGTTGTAATCCAAAAACATCTCAGCCAAACCAAATAATGCAATTGTATGACTGCTGAATTTTTCATTCCAAAACATTGGCTTCACTACTTATGGGGCAAACCACATGAGCTCTGTTTCCAATCATGTCTATGACTAATACTTTATTCAACCACTACTTATTAGCTTCACATTAGCATTGATATTGCAACTGCCATTAGGAAAAAAAAAACTCAGGTAAATAACAAAAGTCAGGTCACTTTGGCAAGGCTTAGGAAAACTGCAGAAATTTGATGAAATAATGAACTTTAAGCTATGTACTTACTGGTCACTTATTCAGTACAGAGAACTATATAGAGAAACTGTACAGAGAAACACTGTATATGAATGGAAGGAAAGAAGTAATGTTGGGGGAGAGGAGCAAAGTAGATAGCTGACAATAATCTGCTGACTGGGTAATTCTGGGAGTTGAAGTCCACCCATCTTAAAGTTGCTGAGGTTGAGAAACATCAGTAGTTATCAAGCAAGAGAAATTGTTTCTGGGAAGGAAACAACAGTTTGCAGAAGGTCCCTTGTTGAAGATGTCAAGCAAGCTAATGGTACTGAGAAACATCTTGTTTCTTAATAGCTATGGGTCAATATAAATAATGCTCAAATTCTGCCATCCTTTATATACTTTGATAATAGTTTAATTTTAACAGAGAATTTAAGGGATGTGTAATCATTAATTCTAGATCAGAAAGGGAAGCATATGGCCTTCCAGTTGACAGCTTTTAGCAGCCTATTATCAGTTGTGATAAGATGGTAATCCAACATGTAGGGGACCATAGGTTCTCTACCCATTTTCTAGATGATGTGCTATTAGGAAAATAAAGTATATTGTTAGTGTTTTACACAATAGAATTTTACTTCTAAAATTTCCTTTCATATATTTTTTATCTTCTCATTCTCTGAAGATTTCAAATTCTTTTTTAACATCCCTTGTTCAGTTCTGAAATTTAGTGTGCCCTCTCTCTGTTTGGGTCAGTTGCTATCAAAATCCTTTCTGGATCACTAAACAAGTCACTTATATGTGAAAAAAAATGACGTGTGTGAACAGAGTAAAAAGCTGACCTGATCACTTTTTCCCCCCAGACCTATCTCTAAGGCATTATTATAACAATTATATTTCTCATTTTCTCTTGCAGAAGGATATTAAATTCTGTCAGCCTTTATGTCATACAAAAGAAGTAATACTTCATTTTCAGAGAACTGAATGACTAAGGGTTTTGCTAACAGATGCCAAGTCTTTCATATATCACCAGTTCAAACCTTATGGGAAATGGCTAGAACTGAAAATTGTCATCTGAAAGTGGTTTAGCGCTCTTTGTGAAAATTACTAGTATAATGAACTCTTCAACTCAGCTGCCAGAAAAAAAATGAAAATAGAAGGTGCTTGATTGAGTTTGAAAGCAAAGATCTTAAGTATTTATTCTTAAGAATGCCCATAATCTTCACTGGAATATTAAAAGATTTGTTATCATAAATGTGGTCAAATTCTGCCTTAGAAATTTTTATTTTATCTCTTGATAAGACTAAAGGTTTCACTTATTCTCTTTGTTACAGATTACCTTCCACTACTTTTATATAATTTCTGATAAGTATGATACCTCCAATATTAATGTGCAGAAAATGTCTTTCTCCATCAGTTCTGATTTTCATCACCACACCAAAATATCAGTGATTACAAGGCTAACTATTGCTTCCTTCCTCTGAAAAATGTGGAAGATGTGGGCCCAGGCAAACTTGACCAAACTTATCTATTTCCTGTGGGAAATCCCTCTCACTTGGAGCTTTGCATCTTCTTTGCATCGAGAAAACCAATTAGTCATGAGCTTTGGATTTCTTTCATCATAGCTGTCTCTCATCTTTTATTTTAAGAAACAAAATAGCTTCCTTGAGAGCCAGTATGTAAATCTGTACAATCCTGAGTCAGGATTTTTGGCACAACCCTTCTAAGACAAGTAGAAAAAATGGAAAACAAGGAAATAATTTATGTCCAGTACTTATACAGAGATTTTATATAAGCAAGTGTGATGCAGGATTGGGGAATATTGTAGTTTTATATCATAAAACCGCATCTTAGTAAACAAATTGTAAAACTTAGGTTACTGGATTTTATGTACTCCCTTTTCATTTCTGTTCTATTACAATTTTACCATACTCCAACAAAAGCTGCAAAATCCACTCCTACAGTCGATTTGTTTTGGGAGAGATATTTTTTTAAAAAAATAAATACATTTATATTTATGATTTAAAATACATTGTTTGGCCTCAGATCTTGAAAATAATCCAGTACACTATTGTGGATATGTTTTTACGAATTTTCTAAATTTCTGGATGACATCAAAGATGTCATTCTGGATGACATCATTATCGGCGACTGCACTTCAACTGATTCAATAATTTTTAGAGATGTATTCTGTGCAGTGCTTTGGGATCTTGAAAAATGTTGGAAGATGAAAAGGAAGCTGAGAATGCAACTTTTTGGAACCAATGGCTTAAATTGAGAGACATGACTTGCATAAAACTGAAAAACAATCAGTGTGTACAAGAGAGGGTTTTTTTCTAACCAGTTATATAAAAAGAAATGCCAAGAAAAGGACCCAAATTATCTTGTCAGTTCTATAGCATTTGAGAGATAAACAGCTGGATGGAAGTAGTATGTTATCTATAACATTCAAGATGAAAGTTGTACTGAATGTCATTGTCCAACCCCATTTCCACAGGAGCCAAAATTCTAGCTAGCCACCAAGATTTGGGCTGTGAGGTGGAAGCAAGCAACAGCACAGAGAAGAAGCAGACTTATTGAGCAGCTCTGCCTAAATTAAGTTACTGTTATTTGCAGGACTGGACAATGGAGGAGGTGAGATGGGAGAACAGAAGCAGCAGAGTATCTAGTCCAAGCATCCAATTTGTGGCCTGCAAACTCAGGTTGTCATCACCCAGGATCCCATCAGAAGACCATCCTAGTGTTGCTGTTGCCCTTTTGCTCACCACAAAGTTCTGACCAACTGAAGAGTCCTGAGCTTCTTTTTTTTATTTCTCACCTAAGTCTGTGTTTACCAGACGCGTTTCTAGCTTTCTGTTTCTCCCGCTGTCCTTATGCTTTACTTAACAATTGAACTGAAGCTTCAATCTGCTAGAACAAGAAATGTCTCCATTAGCTGTGATGTTGAAGAATTGTAAAGTTGCACTCTACACCAATGAAACCACAAAGTTCCTTTCTTCTTCTCCTTTTCCATGAGATGAGCAAAATTAGTTATTTGTATGGACCTGCAATAACCATCTATAATTGGAAGACACTACTAGGTATTCTGGACAATAACAAAGGCAGCTGCTCAACTCAATATAACTACAGTATACCCTGTGCTCATCTAGGAAATCTTAATTGTTGTTGTTGTTATTCAGTCGTTAAGTCGTGTCCGACTCTTCGTGACCCCATGAA